TTCCTCCTAAGACGAGGTTGAGGGAACCTCTGTCAGTATGGAAGAGTAAAGGATAACAAGGGAACCAGGCTCCTCATATTTGAGGATGGGTGGTAGAGAGAGGGAGATCTACAGAAGAGAAGAAAAGTAGGTAAAAAGCAGAAAGAGAATGAAAATTTACCCCAAAATGAAATGAACAAAGAACGCCAATACAATGACAATACAGACCACGGAGCAGCTAAAGCAAAACAAATGGGGAAAAAAATAACAAGTAGCAAGTCTCTCAGGAAATATTCTCAAATAGATTAACTGCTCAACAAATTTTAATCAGGAATGAATATTAAGAGAATTTTTTATTTTTATATTTGTATCCCCAGTGCCTAGCATAATGCCTGGCACCTAGTAGGTGCTTAATAAATATCTGCTAATTGATTTTGTCCTAGAACGCAAAGCTGAGGTAAATTAAATATTCGAGTAAGACTCACTGATTGATGCTGTCTGAGGAAAATGCTCCAGGCTTCATTACTGTAAGAGGGAATGAACTCAGCATTTCCTGCAGAACAAGCCTAAAGGAGCAATCAATCAACAAGCAGTTATTAAGCTTAAGCGCCAGGCGCTGTGCTAGGCACTAGGGATACAAAGATAAACATCACTTCGATCCCCAAATCTGATAGAGACAGTTACTTACATGGATGCCATCCATCCGGCCCAAGAGAACCACACAGAACCAACGAGAGAGTAATCAAAGAGGAACATCTGGCGAGAAACATTACCTACCCACAAAAGACTCACCAACGTGACGCCCACTGTCCTGGCCTGCAAACCCCGTCACTCCTCTGGACTCCCAGCAAGTGACGGCGAGCAGAGAGCAGCCCAAACGCTACAGCCTCACCACAAACTGAGGAGCCTACTTCTTGGAGTCTCACTCACATCACTTGCAGCCCGGACTAAAACCACTTATATCACAAAGTCGTTCCAAATGAAATGATGTGTTGCTGTGTGGTTAAGAAATACATAATCCGGGGCAGCTAGGTGGCGCAGTGGATAGAGCACCGGCCCTGGAGTCAGGAGGACCTGAGTTCAAATCTGGCCTCAGACACTTAACACTTACTAGCTGTGTGACCCTGGGCAAGTCACTTAACCCCATTGCCTAGCCCCCCCCAAAAAAACAAAAAAAAAAAACAGAAATACATAATCATTTCACAATAATTCTCTCTTCCAAATCTTAAGAATCCAGTTTCTTCTCAAGTTTATTCTCATTATTCAGTCTTTTTCCACTAATAAGACAGAACCCTGAATGGACTAAAAAAGGAAATTTAGCAGAGTTCTGAAATATTGTTTTCTCAAAACAATTACACTCCCTCAACCACTTCCCCGACTCAGAATGTGACTACAATGAAATAAGGGCCAGGAAACAAACCAAGATGGCAAGCAACAATGAAAAACAGGAGTCCACTCTAGTCCAATCCCTGATCACCTCATACTTGGACTCTTATAACCTCCTAACTGGTTTCTTTGCCTATCTCAAACAAATCATCCCTCCTCCACTTATTCTGCACACAAATTGTATCACTCTTACAAAACTTCAATGGCTCCCTGATATGTGTAGTGAATGGAGTCAAAAAGACCTATCTGGGTTCAAATCCAGTGTCAAATACTTACTGAATATATGACATTGTTGCTGAGTCTTTTCAGTCAGTCGAACTCTTTATGACCCCATTTGGGGTATTCTTGGCAAAAATACTAGAGAGGCTTGCCATTTCCTTCAGCTCATCTTACAGATGAGAAACTGCGGCAAATAGGGTTAAGTGACTTGTCCAAGGTGACACGGCTAGTATGTGTCTGAGATCAAATTTGAACTCAGGTCTTCCTGATTCCAGACTCAGAACTGCCTTTATGACTCTGGACAAGTTGCCTAACCTCTCTAGCCTGTAGCTTCCTCTTCTGTAACAGGAAGGGGTTGGATCTCTTAAGGTTCCTTTTAGCTCTAAATCTAAGCTCTTATGTACAGAACGCAATCCAAACACATTTGTGTCACAATTCAAGAGGCTCCACAACGTGGTCCTATCCTATTCTACCCAACCTCCTATACCACCACTACTCTGACAAGTTAGTCTCTTCAACGAGCCTCAGATATGCCGTATTCACTCAAGTCTCCATTTTGCTGGTCCAACCTTCCTTACATACAACTTTAAAGCCTCAACTCTCCTCTCTGCCCTACAGAAAATCTATCCCTCCTTCAAATTCCTTCTCCTCCTTATGCCTCTACTTAGCCTCAACTGAGGCTCTCATCTTCCTCTGAACTGAATGCAGACAACACTCATTTTGAAAGCTCATCATGTTACCTTGCATTTTTATTTTTACTATCTTACATATAAGAGGAATATGGTTGAATAGACAGAAAGCTTGCATCAAAAGCCAGAAGATCTGAGGTTCAAGTATCTCCTCTGGCACATACAGGCCTATGTGACTGTCTGCAGTCACACAGTGACACACAGTGCCTCTAAGACTTCAAGTTGGTAAGATATACTGATCTACAGTGGTAAAAGAAGTCTCTTCACCAAGGACTTCCTTACACTAATGAAGTAACAAGTCAGAACAAAAAAAATCTCATGTATATCTCTGTCTCATGAACAAAACTGTAAACTTTCTTCAGAAGAAAGTCAGTTCTCAATATATATCTAATTCAATACAGTATTTCAAGGATCCTGTATTTTTAATTAATGTTGAGACACACTTCACCAATGTAAACTGCATCCTCTCTACATCTGGATAGACAGACGACAGAGATGAGCTGCTGTAGCTAATCAAAATTCAACACCTGGTGGGTTGCCTTCTGAGTATAAGCTTCTCCAAACTTAGCTAGGATAGTTATCGTTGCTGAGCCATAAATACTTAAGGTTTTTCCAGCTTGGAAATATCTCAAAAGTGCTTGAGCTCTGTGGGCAGTCACCTGTGAAAGGCAAAGGAGTAGAATTCTGGTGGAAGCATAATAGGTGTCACTAAAATATTTAATCTTGGCTTAGAGATGAAGTTACAACACATTCTCAAAAACAGGTTCTTCAAATATCAACTGTGGTCTCAAACCAAAGAGGAACCTTTCATTTGAGTACTGAGTGGAAACTGGTTTTGATAATATTGTCCCTCAAACCACTGCACACTCCAGTCAAACTGGCTTTCTTTCTGCATTGGGAACAAGAACATCACTCTCCCACTCTGAAGTCTCTGTTTACAATCTCCTCAGTGGCTCAGTGTTCTGTGGCTCTCCTCTCTTTGGGTGAGTAGCAACTTCTCCTCTCCAAAACTTCCCACAAAGCACCTATCACCTAGTCTAGGAAGCCTTTCCTGACACCATCAACCTTGGCTCTCAGAACTCAGGTAGCATTAGATTTACAACTCTCTAATCACTTACAATGTGCAATATTGTGTAAGTTATTTGTATTTGTGCCTTTTCCCTCTACTAGATTGTATGCTCCCCCATTCCCTAGCACAATACTCCACAAAGAGTAAGTGATTAATATTATTAACACTATCATCTCTTCTTCATATATACAAGACTAACAGAAGTGTAGTTCGTGAACATGGCCAACCCTCTCTTCACTCATCAGTGGCAAGATAACACAAAAAACATCTAAATTTACCTGAATGGTCAGCACACTTAATGTCTACTTCTTTTGACCCCTTCAAGTGAATAGGTTTTAAGAGTTTTTAGAAGCCTAATCATTTTTTTTGACTGATGGGCAGAAATGACTAGTACATGCCAAGCTAGATTCAAAATATTTATTATCTAGGGTCATTATTTAGGCATGTAAAAAAAACCTGGCTCCTGTATAGTAATAGTGTGACACTGTGAACTTGAGATGTTTTATGTACAGACCAACCATTCCCAAACAGGCTCAAGTTACAGAAAAGGCAATTAAGCAAAATAAAACTAGTTTCTTATACAGATTACTAAACACTTTGGTTGGCAACAAAAGCTGTCTAGACTGGAAAAAATTTTAATGACCAGGAGAGTCAATCTCATGTCTAAAATCAGATTTTCATTTATTCAACAAGCATAGAGCATGAGCTCCCTAAAAGCACGGAGGGAGGAGTTATTGTAGGGGGTTGTTTTTTCTGGGGCGGGGGGGGGGGGGATATTTTACCCTTTCTTTGTATCCCCGGTGCTTAGCACAGGGCCTGGCATATAGATGACCCTTAATACATGCCTGTTAACTTGACTATCTACGATGTGCCAGGCCCTGTGCTAGAGGGCTGGGTTTCGAAGATGAAAACCAAAACGGGTTTTGGAAGAAGGCTTTCCCGGTCCTCCTTAACCTTAACGCCTTCCCTGTGGGTCTATTATTTATACATGGTGGTCCACATAGCTATTAAAGCTTCAAACAGCACTAAGACTCTCGGACTACCTAATATCTTGTTTGTACACAGGGGTCTGCATGTCGTCTCCCCCATCAGACGGGGAGCAACTTGAAAGCAGCGGCTGTATTGTTTTTTGCTTTCCTTTCTATCTCAGCGAAGTGCCTTAGAGATAACCTACATAGAATCACCTCCCAATTCCAATACCAGGGATCCTGGGGGAGTGCAGAAAGCATGAAGTTTAGTGTCTCGAGGGACTGGAATCGAATCCAGCCTCGGCCTGTGCAAGGGACCTCGGGGTGCTCACGCCGACCCTCTCTGGGCCTCAGCTGCTTGCCCCTCTGCATAAGGAGGGGACCAGGCTAGAGACCACGGCAGGGTCCCAGGTTGTCTGTAGGACTCGGGGGGGAGGATAAGCCTCGCCCCCTCCCGAGACTTCGTCTTCGGGCCCCTGACCCCCTCCTGCTCACGCTCCTCCTGATGGTGCGCCTCTGGACCCGCGGCGCTTCGCCCCCAGCCCGGCATCCCGTAGGCGCTTCGGGGATGTTTGTCGACTGACTGACAGATCCTCCCAACCGGCTTCTCCCTCCTCCCCGGCTGCCGGCTCGCTCCCCACCTCTCCCGCCCCCAGCTCGGAGCCTCGGGGAGCCGGGCAGCCGCCTCACCTTCCAGGGAGTCTCCGAGGGCCTGGTCCTGGGGATCCCGCGGCCCCGCCGTGGCCGCCGCCACCTCCTCAGCCCGCTCCCCGACCCTGCCTTTCGCCATGGCCGCCGCCGCGGGGGGGGACCAGGGGAGGGCGCGGGCTCCCTCACGACGCCGGAGCCGGAGCCGTCTCCACGCACGCACAGCTTCTGCCGGGGCGGCCCAGGCTCACTTCCGCCTCCTAGTCGCCGCCGCCGCCACCGCCTCCTCACCCGGGGCGACCCCTACCTCCACAGGCCCCCTTCAGAGCGTCTCCTCCTGGCCCCGCCCCTCTGCTCCGCCCCCAAATCTCGCGAGCTTGCCCGAGCCCGCCCACAAAAGCCGCCGCGACGCGGCAGAGGCCGGCTTTTAAGCCCCGCCCCCTCCTCCTTCGTCTTCCGTTGGCCGTGGGGCATGCGCACTTAGGGACACGCCCGCGTTTGCGGCTGAGCCGGGAGGCTGCGAGGTGTGACCACTTAAGACTGTGACCTGGACTTTTCTGATTGGGGTGGAGGGAGTCGGAAGTCTTAGCCGTTTGTGTGAATTATGCATGCGAAGGCGATTAGGACCTTTCCGTCAACCTGCTGAGTTTCAAGTCTTTACGCTGAATTTCTCCAAGCCGCTGCTATCTGGTTACAATGTTTCCCCAGTGGGGAAACAAAATTACAATTCATTTCGGTTCGGCTAGCATTTATCTAGTGGCCGCTGTGTGCTCAGCTGTACTGAGCAGAAATCCTGACGAGATGCCAGTCAGAGCAGTTAGCAGCCAACTACAGTCCCCGAGGACTAAAGATAAAGTGTGCCCCCCACCTCGGGACGGAGGCGATAGCCGCAAGTTGCAGGATGAAATAGAAATTTTTAGATAAGACTAGTGTGAGGATTTTTTTTGTTTTTTCATGTTTGTTACAGACAATGAAGGAGTTATGAGGAAGAAGGGGACTAGCGAGAGTCGGCCCCAACAAAGAGAGAGGATTTTATATATACGTGTGTATATTGTATGAATACATATGCATGTGTATTGTGTGTATATGTATATATACATATATGTTTTAGTGCACAGAAGAGGACAGAATCTCCGACTAGCGGGATAGCTTTGAAAGTTACATGTTGAATTTATTATGCAGTTATAATGGAGGACTAGATAATGAAGGTCCAGTCCTGGGAGCATGAACAGAGGAACCAGGAAGATGTTTTGGTAAGCTTCTGGAAGTTTGTGATAATGGAGAGCAGAGAGACTTGAACACAAATCCTGCCTCAGACACTGAATAAATCCTGGGCAAATCACGTAAACTCTGTCTACCTCAGTTTGTTTTTTTTTTTCAGTTGTATAATGGAGATAATAACAGCACCTAAAAGTTGTCATGAGGATAAAATGTGATAAAATCTGTAAAATACTGCAAACCTAAAAGTTCCTTAATAAATGCTGGCTATTTACCGCAGCTAGGTGGCCGCAGGTGACTAAGTGGACAGAGCCAGGGCCTGGAGTCAGGAAGACCTGAGTTCAAATTTGAACTCAGAAACTTACTAGTTGTGTGAACTTGGGCAAGTCACTTAACCTTGTTTGCCTCAGTTTCTCATCTGTAAAATGAGCTGGAGTAGGGCATGCCAAGAAAACCCCAAAAAGGGGTCACAAAGAGTTGCACATGACTGAACAACAACAGCAACGTTGACCACACTGCCAAAGGAGGCCATGACACAAGATTAACAACCTCTGGTATAGAGCATATTCCTTTCGTAATTCTAGCCACCAAGAGTGGCTGATCTAAGGGACTAGAAGTTGGACCTCCTGGGCCATAACAACTGCAAAAGCCCTTGAACCCTTCCGGTTCCTGCGGTAAGACCCCACCAGAATGCAACTCAGTAGTCAATAGCTGGGATGGAATGGTAGCTGAGTGGAGATTCAAAGCCAGATCCTTGGACTCAAAGCCCTTTCTGCCACCTCTTCTAACTCCATGCATAGAAAACTAAATTCTTGATTTCCTCCACTCCTTGTCTCCCTCAATCCCTAAACAGTTATCAAGGGGATGTGGCATGACTGAGGGAATCAGGAAAGGCTTCTGCCCCTGCCTCAACTTCAGGAAAGGCCTCTTGAAGGAGATGCATTTGAGCAGGCATTTAAGAAGAGCCACAGATTCCGAGAGGTGGAGGTGAGGGTAGAGAGTGTGGCAGTACATGGGGTGTGGGGGGAAGGAAGGGGGAGAAGGTACAGTTTGTGCAAAGGCAAATGAGGAAAGTCAACAAGCGTATGAGTGGGAAGGTGAACTCTCAGGCCCCTTCTAGCTCTAAATCTAGGATCCTATGGCTTAGGGCTAAAGACTCACTGGCTTATATTGCAACACTCAGGTGAACAATGGAACAGGTTGGACTTGATCTTGAAAGGACAGAGTGATAAATCTGGGACAGGATGGAGGCAGTCCCCTCCTGCAGATTACAGGAATTGCCATCCATCCAGGGCAAAGATCAGGAGTTGTCACCATCCAGGGCAAAAATCAGGATCTGTCATCTTCCATCCAGGGCAAACATCAGGAGTTGCCACCCTTCATCCAGGGCAAAAATCAGGAGGATCTTTTCTTTGCCTCTGTTAAATACCTTCCCACCTCTGACATTCCAAGATTCATGCTCTCTAAAGAAGCAATATGACATAATGGAAAGGGTGTGGGGGTTGGTGGCAGTCCTGGGTTCAAATCTTATCTCTGATACTATGTGATGTGAGTATAATGGGGGACTGGCCACTAAGTCCAATCCTTATAAGTATGCACAGAGTGCTGCTAATGTAATTCTCTATGTGGAAGAAGCCAGCTTCCAGGAGAGTCATGAGGATGTATATAACAGAAGTTCCTTAGAGAGACTATTCCAGTCTGCTAATCACATGGTGAGGAAGAGATTTTGGACTGGCTGTGGAAGTATCCAAAAGACACAAGTTCCAGTCTCTTCTCTTGGTTTGGCTCTGTGTGAATTCTTTCTGGTCGATGGCTTCCAATGACAGTCAATGATGTAAAGAGAAAGCACTTCCTCCAGCATCAACATGTGACCTTGTGGGTCCCAGTTCTTTGCCTCTGTATTTGCTATTGCTTTTATACACTAAAGATATATCGAGGCTACAACCTTATGAATTTCAAAAGATCAGGAAAATGAACCATCTGAAGTCTGAGATTTCTAACTACACTCCATGCTGAGTTTTGCAACCATCCTAGAATCATGGCCTGAGGAGTAACCTTCGGAGCCCAAGCACAGGGGTAGCTGAGCAATGACTCATTCGTGCCAGCTCGACATTTTGACATGAACTTGGAAGTATTAATCTTATATGGATATTGTGCTAAATTTGTTTACTCTCTCCAGGGACTGAGGTGGAATAGGAGAGGCTGTACCTCAAGTATTGGGGGAAATGTTTGTGTTTTTGTTCTTGTTATATCTTCAAAGAAATATCCTTTTGTATGAAATGATACTAAATAGATGTTAAGGCACAGTCAACTGAGGCAGTACACTAGAATGGGGGCTCCAGGCAACAAAAATAGAGAAAGATACTTCCCAACCTCTCAAGGAGACCCCCTTGAACCCTGAAGCTCCATGTAGAAGGTCTGGCTCTGGGATTGGAAGACCTGAATGCTCACTTTACTAGGTAACTCATGTCACTTTGCTGAGCCTCGAATTTCCTAATCGCTTGTAAAATTAAAAATTGATTTTAATTCTATTTTGCTAAGACTTAATCAAGCTAGATTTAACATTCCCTTTCCTGATTCCTTCTCCTTGTAAACTTCACCCACCCCCCACATACTTGCCCAAACGTCAAGCTTTTGTGTTATAATTTTAATTATATAAATAAAATATAATATAAATTATATGTAATATAAAAACAATATAAATATAAATATAATCCTCCACCTTTGTAGGATAGCTAGAGTGAGGAAGACCTCAGTTTAAATTTGGCCTCATGCACTTACTAGCTGTGTGATCCTGGGCAAGTCATTTATCTCTGTTTTCCTCAGTTTCCTCTCCACAGACTCTTGACTTTTCCAGACAGGTGCTTAACCAGTCAAGGATGGCTGTCTTTAAGTAACTATACTCTTTAATATTTCAAAAGATTTGTGATCAACCCCTCCTTCATAGACCTTAATAGAACTGAATTAATTGAATTCATATATTTCATTTCAACATTTTAAAAGCCAGAGTTTTCCAAAACTGTGAGGATGGGAGCCAAGCAATAGTCAAAATTATTGGATATTTTTGAGTAAACTCCCAGGTAAATACGTCTACTTATTTCAAAGAAAACAACATTGAAGTCAAAGTGAAGCAAAAGGGAAACAAACTTAGCAAATTTGTTCCCATTGATACAGGGAATATAAATGAGACTGGAGTGATCCTTAGGTGATGGGAGTAATCAGCAGAGTTGGGTGTCCTCTGTAGCTTTGATTGAATCAATTTGAATGTAGGGTTGGAGGTAAAAACTAAATTTATAGACTTGAGACTCAAATGACCAGAGGCTACCCGAGGAAAGGTGGAGGTAGTTATAAGAGGCAAACTTGACCTTTAGGCAAGCTTCTCCAGAATGCAGGTGAAAGGCTAATTTCAGGGGAAAGGAGTTTAGACTCATACAGCAGGAGAGAGTATCTATGCCAGATTGACTGTCTTAAAAATCAAATTAAAATCAATTTTCACTTTTACCCTGGCACCCAAATCTCTCCCTCCAAGTTGGCAAATACCATCAGTTAGATATTCATTTGTATTAAGGAACAATCAAATCCAGTCTCAGACACTTACTAGCTGTGTGACCCTGGACAGGTCACTTAACTGTGTTTGCCTCAGTTTCCTCATCTGTAAAATGAGCTGGAGAAGGAAATAGCAAACGACTGCAGTATGTCTGCCAAGAAAACCCTAACTGGGGTAACAAAGAGTCGGACACGACTGAAACGACTCAACAACAACATCAAGGAGCAAATGCACTTGAGAAAGAAAAGATTAGACTGCTCGAAGGGCAGCTCTAAATAAAAGGCAGGTAGTTGGAATTTTTGGCTGCTAGGTGGCGCCATAGTGCATAGAGCGCCAGCCTGGAGTCAGGAAGACTTATCTTCCTGAGTTCAAATGTGACCTCAGACACTTAC